CCTTGATAATCCACAAAAGCCGATGGACCAAAACAAATTTGTAAATCTTGTAGGAAGGATAGCCATGAGCGTAGCTGTCCATTGGCATGCATCCAACAATACCAAGACAATGCAAGGCCCTCCATATGGAAGGAAGTGATGGTCAAGCGCTACGCATGCAGAGTATCCTAATAATCAAAAAATTGTTCATCCTGAAATTGCCAAGCTTTAAAGTCTGTACTGTTAAATCAAGGAACTTCCAACTAAAAAGGCTTGAAAGGAATGCCCCTAGAATTAGTGTGTTGGGACCCTGAAGTAACGCCTCTTGTTGGGGCGATCGCACCACCTCCCATCAACGATGGCTCACTAATCTGTGACTATTGCGTGTTGGTGTCTTAAGCTAGAGAATGCTAAGGAAAAGAAAGTAAGAAAATGAGTTGAGAGAGGTTGAAATTCATTGAATTAACATTACAAATTTATACAACAAAACAGCCTACTATTACACCAACTTTTTTGAGATATTTACAAATTTGAAATTTAAAACAAAGCTTACAACTATTACAGCCTTAATTACAACTGAGTACACCAAAACTCATCACTAAAACATATCAGCTTCAGTAGGTCTTACACGACAGAATGCAAGGCAAAAACAAGGGACTTCTTGGCGCCAAAAAAACTTTCAAACTTAACTGAAATTTAGTTGAATTTCTAACAAAATATCACTGCATCAACACTCCTCCTTGATAATTTTGCTGGAAACACCAAGTTTGAGTCTGAAATCTTCAAACTTGGTTTTGGAAATAGCTTTAGTCATAATGTCAGCCACTTGAAATTCACCCCTACAGTGAATCAATTCCACTTCACCATTTTGCTCAGCCTCTCTAAATGCAAGAAACTTAATTTTTATGTGCTTTGTACATCCATGGTTTACTGGATTTTTAGCCATTGCAATAGCTGATTGGTTATCACACATGATTGTAGTAGGCTTTACTTGTTTCAACTTCAAATCTTCTAATATTTTTCTCAGCCAACTAGCTTGATTCATAATAGCGGCAGCCGAGATATATTATGCTTGTGCTGTGGATTGAGCCACATTTTCTTGATTCTTAGATAACAAACATATTGCACTAGAATTCAAGAAAAATGCATACCCTGAAGTGCTTCTCATGTCATTTGTTGAACCAGCCCAATCATTGTAAAAAAAAAACCAACCAATTTGAAGTCTTTTGATCTCTTAAACCACACCCCAAAGTTAGTGTTGCCCTTCACATATCTTAACACCCTTTTTGTAGCCTTGAAATGAGTCTCTGTTGGTTGACTCATAAATCTAGACAGCAGATTCATGGCATACATTATGTCTGGCCTGGTTGCTGTCAAGTACAATAAGCATCCAATTAAGCTTCTAAACAGCCCCTCATCCATTCTCATTGCACCATCATCTTTGCTTAACTTCAGATTGGGAACCAATGGAGAGTCTACTGGTTTGCAATTCTCAATGCCAAACTTCTTAAGGACTTCATTTGCATACCTTTCTTGGCACACAAAAATCCCTTCACTGGACTGATCTATCTCCATACCAAGAAAGTATGTCATTTCCCCTAAATCAGTCACTTCAAATTCACTTTGCATGGACCTCTTAAACTGATTCAATTGCTCAACATTGCTTCCTGTAATTAGCAGATCATCTACATACAAAGAGACTATAATCAAGTCACTTTCAGCCTTCCTAACATAGAGTGTGCGCTCATTAGGGCTCTTGGTGTATCCTAAGCCGCATAAATAGTCATTTATTCGGTTGTACCAGGATCTAAGAGTCTACTTTAGGCCATACAAGGCATTCTTTAAGAGATACACCTTGTCCTCTTTACCCTTGACTTGATAGCCTTCGGGTTGCTCCATAAAGATCTCCTCACAAAGCCAACCATTTAAGAATGTTGATTTAACATCTAACTAGAATATTTTCCAGTCAAACTAAGCTATTAGAGCAGCAATAACCTAATGGTGTCATGTCTGGCTACCAGGGCAAAAGTATCAGAAAAATCTACTCCTTGTTGCTATACAAACCCTTTAACCACAAGTCTTGCCTTGTGTTTGTGGACTGATCCATCAGGATTGAGTTTCTTCTTAAAGATCCATTTCACCTGGATTACTTTTCTATTTGTAGGTCTGTCAACAAGTTCCCAAGTACTGTTCTTTTTTATCATTGACAGCTCCTTCTGCATTGCAACCCTCTATACTTCCGACTTTACAGCTTCATTGTAATTCCTAGGTTCAAGCACAACCATGTTGCATCTTGCATACACATCAGCCAAAGTTCTGTTTCCTCTAACCAAGAACTCTTCATCCTCTTTAACTTCTGCTTCATCAATCAAGTATTATGTCGGTTGGAGTGGTCTGAATTCTTCATCAATGTTCTTCTCTTCCCAGTTCCAGATTGATCTCTCATCAACCCTTATATCTCTTGTGATCACAACTCTCTTGGATTTAGGAATGTAGACCCTATAGCCCTTGGATTGACTGTTGTATCCTATAAAGATTCCAACTTCAGCTTTGCCATCTAACTTTGTCCTCTTGTTTGCTGGAACCAAGACATAACAAATACTCCCAAATATCTTGAGATGATTCATTGCTGGTTTTACTCCACTCCAAGCTTCAAATGGAGTTTGATCCTTAATAGCTTTGGTTGGAAGTCTATTGAGAATATAGACCCTTGTATTAACAACTTCAGCCCAAAACATCTTGGGAAGTTTCTTCTCGGCAATCATGCATCTTGCCATCTTCTATTTCTTCTTTCACTGACCCCATTTTGCTGTGGGGTGTATGGAGTGGTGAATTGGTGCATAATCCCAGCTTCTTTGCAAATTGAACCAAACTCACTTGATGTATATTCTGTCCCATTGTCACTCCTTACCACTTTGATCTTCAGCCCTGCTTGATTCTCCACTAGAAGCTTGATTTTTTTGAACACAACAGCCACCTCATTCTTCTGCTTTAGGAAATACACCCAGACCTTCCAGGAGAAGTCACCAATGAATAGAAAAAAGTACTTACTTCCACTCAGTGGTTTAGTTTTCATGGGGCCACACACATTAGTGTGGATCAATTGGAGTTTATCAGTTGCTTTCCAGGTCTGATTTGATGGAAAAGGTGACCTACTGAGTTTACCAAGCTGGTAGGCTGTGCAAAGGCTCCTCTTCCCTTCAATTTCAGGTAAGTCCAAGACCATGTTTCTACTTAATTTTAAGCTCTTTAAGACCAACATAGTGGAAATGGCCAAGCCTTTTGTGCCAAAGCTTAGACTCTTCTAGCCTACTGGCTAGTGCAAGAGTTTCTGATTTTTTTTCCACTCAATCGGGAAGCTCTTTCCCAACATCTTCACACTCATCAATTCATTTCCCTCTCTATCTAATATAACACGGGATTGATTTTGAAAAAGCAAGGAGTAATCCTTTTCTAACATTTGTCCAACACTCAATAAATTCTGACTAATCTCAGGTACATACAAAACATTTGAAATAATTTTTATACCTAATTGTGTTAGGACAACAACAACACCAATTCCCTTGGCCTTCACATAATCACCATTGCCTATTTTGACTCTAGAGCTGTATGACTCATCCAGCTTGATGAAATTCTACAAATTTGCTACCGTGTGGTTGGTGCAACTGCTATCTATCAGCCAAACCTCATTGTTGACCTGAGTTGTATAACATGAAGCCACAAAAAGCTGTTTAGACTCCTGGCCTTGTTGTTATAGCTGAGTTCCTTTGTTCTTACACACCTTCTCAATGTGGCCAAATTGTTTGCAAGCCCTATATTGAATTCCAGGCCTAAACTTGCACCTCTTCTCGGAATGGCCTTTCTTTTTGCAGTGAGAGCAAGGTGGATAATCCTTCATCCCACCTGGTTTTCCCCACTGACCATTACTTATTTCTTTCCCCTTCTTATCTCCAGCATACCTCTTATTATTTCCTTGTGCAAGTTTGCCTTTGTAAGTTGCCATCATTGCACCCTCATTTTTGTCTTCTTGCCTCAAGAGTCTTCTTTGCTCTTGAGCTTGCAAGGCATGTACTAACTCAGTAAGTGTAATCTGAGACATGTCTTTTGAGTCCTCAAGAGAAGAAATTTTGGACTCAAACCTTTCGGGCAAGCTCACCAAAACTTTTTCTACAACTCTCATATCTGTCAACTCCACCCCTAGCAACCTGATTTTGTTGACTACACTCGTCAGCCTGTCAACATACTTCTTCACCTTCTCAGATTCTTGCATCCTCAACATATCAAACTCCTTTCTTAGATTTAGCACTTGCATATTCCTTGTAATGTCACTTCCCATGAATTCATCTCTCAACTTGTCCCAAGCCCCTTTTGCAGTTTCACATGCCATTATCCTTATGAATACAAGCTATGTTACAGCATCATGAATGTGGGACAAGGCCCTCAGAGCCTTAGCAGCTTCTTCTTCAAAGATTCTAATCTAATTTAGAGTTGGATTTGGACCTAATTGTGTTGGCTGCCTATTCTCCTCTACATACTGCCACAAGCCTTGGCCCCGGAGGAAAGCTTTCATTTTTACAACCCACATGTGATAGTGTTCACCATTAAAAACTAGAGGTGACATCAAGGCTGATTGAGCAGCTGTCTGTTCAGGTTAGAGGTCTGAAGCAAGAGAAATATGAAGTCTGAAATAGAGGAGTTCTTGAGCTGAGAGCCTGAGATGAAGGATTGAACGTGGGAGGGAGAGATTTCAAGTTTTTAGTATGGCTCCAATACCATTTGTTGGTGTCTTGAGCCGAAGAATGCTAAGGAAAAGAAAGTAAGAAAATGAGTTGAGAGAAAGGTTGAAATTCATTTCATTAACATTACAAATTTATACAACAAAACAGCCCACTGTTACACCAACTTTTCAGAGATATTTACAAAGTTGAAATTTAAAACAAAGCTTATAACTAATACGCCTTAATCGCAGTTAAGTACACCTAAACTCATCACCAAAACATATCAACTTCAATAGCTCTTACATGGCAGAATGCAAGGCAAAAACAGGGGACTTCTTGGCGCCAAAAAACTTTGAAACTTCTAATTGAATTTCAGTTGAATTTCCAGCAAAATATCACTGCATCAACACTGCCTCTCCACGTGTTCTGCATCCAAAACGGAAACCTTCACACCCAATTCTTTTAAAAATTGCCCTAAGGACTCCAGTTGTTCAACCATGGTGGCCTGACTTGTCACCAGTTGACTAACCTGCACATCAAGAGTTTTCAAACAAGCATCGTTGGCCATTGAACGACAACACCAATTGTTAAGATAAATCTGCTCTATATGAGGGAACAGTATCTCCCAAGAATAAAGAGAAAGAAAGACTTTTATTAATTCAATCAATACCCTATTTTCCAGACTACTACTCTTAAATACCTAACAAACCAAGCATTCCTAATGACCCTAAGAAACATAATTAATGTAAAATACTATTCCATTAACAAATACAAAATAGATCCTAATTAACTAATAACTTATCAGAACCCAAAATCAAGTAAACTACTTCCATTGCCGCATAATCCTTGGACCATATTGGAGGCTGCCGAACCCTTCTTGAAACTCTTCTTTCAATTTCATCATTTTCATCCGTATCTTCCTCCACTCTCCTAACAAATTATCTGGTATTAAGCCTAGAAAGATTCAGCATTGAGAACATCACCAATTCAAAATAAGCATTTGTCAGATTTTGAGGTATAGACAGATCATTTATTTTGGCTAATAGTGAGATTTGGATAGTCCATTATTTTAATTTTTCAACCACTGTTTGGTTCCATTGATTTGGAAATACTAGACAATATATTTAACCTTACTTGGCAAACATTTGAGGAATTATCAAATTCCAAGCCGATTTTAAGATAACACCAAAATTGCGGTACCTCCTGTTTATCTTTTCCATTGACTTATTTTCACAAATTTTGTTTACCATAGACGGACTTCTCCCTCAACCTTTCTAAATAATCATTAATTTTCATTTTGAACATTAGCAGGACCTTTTAGTTGAAATATTTTTCTGCTCTTGTGTTTTGAACACTATCAGAGCCCTTTGAATGAAAGGTAAAAGGTATTCAGTTATAGCTTTGTTCGCAAGTCTATAAGAAGACTCGGAGTTGTAATTAACACAAGCCGGAGAGAAAAAGTAAACTTGCACTTACAGCTTACAAGAATCAAGTTTTCAATATCAATTCTTGAAATCTGAAGATGGTTTATCTGTTGATGCCGATGTTTGTTGCACTTATAGCATCTACCTTGGGAGTGCTTTTCCTGCAATGTTCTGGAGGAAAGAAGAAAAGTGGAGATGTTTCAATGAAGATTCAGAGGAATGAGTGTTCCAAGAGATCAGAAAATGTAACACTCCCTGCAGAGGTTGCTGGAAGCACTATTGATATAATCATTGTTGGTGCTGGAGTTGCAGGTTCAGCTCTGGCTTACACTCTTGCAAAGGTAATACACTCTGCAAACTGAAATTGCTGTATTTATTCTAACAGCAATTTTTGTTGGACTTCCTTAAAACTGTGTTTGATTGCGTAGAAAGCATAAGAAGAAATAAATAGAAACCTGTATATCTTTCATTTCCAAGCCTTTCTTTTCTGTCAGTAAGTTCACTTCAGTCTGTTTGCTCTATAAGAAAAAGCTGTTGAGTTTCAGGAATACTTAAATTGGGGAATGGTAACAGAATTTGCCAAGGCATCATTTTTGATTGGATGAATGAAAAATATATGCATATGCATTCTGGTATTAGGTATGATAACAGAACCTTGTTTTCGGCTGTCTGTTGCAGGATGGTCGTCGAGTGCATGTCATTGAAAGAGACTTAATTGAACCTGACAGAATTGTTGGTGAACTCCTGCAACCAGGAGGCTACCTCAAGTTGATAGAGTTGGGTCTTGAGGGTAAGCACATATTTAGCTCTATCACTCTATCTTTGTCATCTCTTATGGCTACAACACCTCTATTCTAATCTGTGAAATATGTGTGTGTGGCTACAGATTGTGTGAATACGATTGATGCACAACAAGTGTTTGGATATGCTCTCTACAAAGACGGAAAAAGTAACAAAGTATCTTATCCATTGGAGAATTTCAATTCAGATGTGGCTGGAAGAAGTTTTCACAACGGCCGGTTCATTCAAAGAATGAGGGAAAAAGCTGCATCCCAATCCAAGTATAGTTTTTCTCCCCTAACATTCATTTCAAATTGGTTTTCTCAGCACTATTGCCAATCTCAATAGTTTGAAAATTCTTCTGGCGCTGATCAAGTTATAGAAATTCTAAGTTTGAGATAATTTCATTTACAAATATCTTGTTTAAATCAGTTTTCTTGTTTTCTCCAGTGTAAGATTGGAACAAGGAACTGTAACATCTCTGATTGAAGAAAAGGGGATTATTAAAGGGGTGACATACAAAACCAAGACAGGTCAAGAGCTGACAACATATGCTCCCCTCACTGTAGTATGTGATGGATGTTGTTCAAATTTTAGGCTCTCTCTCAGCAAACCTAATGTTAGTATCCTGGTCTTTTTTGGTGTGCTTTTAAACAATCTGATTACTGACTTGAATTTCTCGGAAGTTTGAAAGTACAATCATTATTGCTATAATTGTTTTGCACTAGAGTTTTCTAAAGCGTACTTATCATTTTTGCAGGTTGAAATCCCCTCTTGTTTTGTTGGTTTGATCCTGGAGAATTGTGAGCTTCCATACAAAAATCATGGTCATGTCATATTGGCAGATCCTTCGCCAATCTTGTTTTATCCTATTAGTAGCACTGAAATTCGCTGCTTAATAGATGTACCGGGACAGAAAGTACCATCCGTTAAAAATGGTGAAATGACAGATTATTTAAAAACTATTGTGGCTCCTCAGGTATATGTGATTTGTTGGAATTGATCTCTATGCAGGTTGTTGTTTAGTTTTACTACTGATACGTGATTATGTTTAGTATTCTTTTGAAATCAAGTGAACTGAGAATGTTCTAGTAGCTTATTCATCAAAGTATAAGTGATTGTGAATTTGTGATTATGATCTAAATTTTTAATGCTTGTGCAACCAAAGGTTTGAATTTTCTCAACAACACTTGAATTTAGCTTGTGACTGATTCCTTAATACTTATCGGAACTTGCACGTTTCAGATTCCCCGTGAACTTTTCTCTGCTTTCATGTCTGCAATTGATAAAGGAAACATCAGAACAATGACTAATAGAAGTATGCCTGCTGCCCCATCTCCTACTCCTGGTGCTCTTTTACTTGGGGACTCATTCAATATGCGGCATCCTTTAACTGGAGGAGGAATGACTGTGGCTTTATCTGATATTGTCATCATAAGGGATTTGCTTAGACCTCTAGGCGATCTAAATGATGCACCTGCCCTTTGCAAGTATCTTAAATCTTTCTATACCCTCCGTAAGGTAAGGAGTCTTCATCGATTTAACATCTGACAGTATTCATGCTTTGGCTATGATATTTATAACATCCTTCTTGGATTTACAAACAATTTTTATTTACATGATTCTCGGTTGCAGCCGGTAGCATCTACGATAAATACATTAGCGGGTGCCCTCTACAAAGTTTTTTGTGCATCACCTGATCCATCAAGAAATGAATTGCGCCAAGCATGTTTTGACTATTTGAGCCTTGGAGATGGTTTCACGAATGGACCAATAGCTATACTCTCTGGTCTAAATCCTCGTCCACTCAGTTTGGTTAGCCATTTCTTTGCTGTCGCAATCTATGGTGTCGGACGTTTATTCCTTCCATTTCCTTCACCTAAACGCATGTTGATTGGTGCTAGACTGATTTTGGTATGTATCTCTTCTGCTTCTAACTTTAAATATCCTAAATATTTTATCTTCTAATGGATTAAACTTTTCTTACTAATATGTCAATTATGTTCTTTTCAGGACGCATCAAGTATAATTTTCCCGATTATGAAGGCGGAAGGTGTAAAAGAGATGCTCTTCCCCGCTACCATGCCAACACATTACACAGTTCAGGATCTATGCTTAAGTTAGGTGAAGAAATATGTGAATCATCACACAATATTTACTAGACTTAATTCGTAGGATTTGTTCTCAAAATATGACAGAAAGCTCGAATTGATGAACTGAAACTAGACATTCTTTGTACGATGTAAACCATTTATTCAGTCTATTAATATGCAATTTTTTTAAAACTGGAAAAATCACTTGCAATGTGGTTGTGTGTGTTGAAACTGAAAATAGTTAAATTATGATTCTTCAAGAAACAGAAAAGATGGAGAAAATATAATTCGTTCAACTGCAGATGGAGTTCTCCTGATTGGGTTTCCCAGTAAATCTCTTTAAAAAAAATTCTAGAAACATAAATTCAGCCAATAATTGAAAAAACTGGGTAAGTGCTCTATTATTTAATTGAATTGTTTTTACTTAGTATTGAGATGAATTGGAATCCTAAGATGTAATTATCAACACAAGTGATAATAACAAATTTAAAAATTTTTTGATTATAGTTATCCATTATCATAATTCATAAATACAACATGATAAGATGAATTGTAATTGTTGCTGCCATATCTAACATGGACTCATGTTTTTAACAATTATTAGATTAGAATTGTAAATCAAGTATTTCAATTATTTTAATTATAAAATTTTTTAATAGTTTATTGAAATAACATATTGTTACAAAATTCGCACCAACCAGAGTGATCTGATTGACCGTGATGGAATTGGAACCAATGTGTGCGTGATTAATTAAAACCAGCAATGACAATATAAAAGTGCAGTAATGTAAAGAACGCAAACAACTTTAAAGTGGTTCGGCAAGTTCGAACTTAAGCCTACGTTCATTATTCTCTTATTGCGCTGGAGAGCTTACAAGAAAAAAATAATGTAATCCTCAGAACAAATTGCTAATCCCCTTCTCATAATTGGAGGGGGTATTTATATAAGTTTGAGATTAAGGAAAGAGAGAGGATATCAGGATTGCAATCAAATTCAAATTGCAACTCCGATATTTCTGTGACTGGGAGCTAAGATCGCGCTGCCACTAGTGTCAACCTTATCCCTTCCGAAATATCCGAGATTTGAGCTTATCTATGGTTTTTCGAACAACTGCCAGGGTTGGTCGCAACTAGCTTGTGTCGAGTCGAGCTATCACTATGGACAAGCTTATGTTGGGTCGGACCAATGCTGAGTCGAACTGATTCTGGGTCAAATTAGCTCCTCGTGGGCTTCTGACTTCTTTGAGCTTTATGGAAAAAATCACACACAACATCCCCCCTCTAGTGTTCGGAGTTCGTTTCGAGCTTCAAAGACTAATTTCCTGCTTTGCCATTTTAGCTCGAATTTCTTAAGTCGCATGTCGACTGCAGACTTGGTCGAGCTTCGTGAATAGGCCTTGGTTTCAATCGACGTGAGCAAGACTTAGCTTTTATTGTGGTATTCTTGATGAATTTGAAATTTGAAATGAAGGGCACACACAGGTAATTTCCACGCGATCGTGTCGCATTAAATGTGGTCGACTTTTGCAGTTACTTTTCGTCGCGCGTAAGTGTTAAAGTCATGAAAGTGACTCTATTTTGGTGATAAAAAGACCCTATGTGTGATTAAAATGAAATCATATTGAGATAATTAAGAGAAATTATGAATTTATGTATAAAAATCATATTTTGAGTTTTTCTTACTAATTTGTCATGTTTGGATTGAAATTGGAGATTGTGTAAGTTGATATTAGGATGTGATTTATTTTCTAGGGTTGATGTTGTCTCATTTATGTTGTTAAGGGGTCAAATTGTCATAAAACTTGGGGTTGATTTTGTCATTTTTCAATATGCAGGGACCAAATGGATATTTTCTGCAATGTGTATAAATTTACAAGTGAAGGTCGTGAAAAGGGGGACGCGCCAAGAAAACCCAAAAACCCTAACCTCGCACCGAAGTTTGGTCTCTAACCAACGACATTTCATTTTCTAGGCCGGTGACCCTTCACCTTCCACCGCCGATCTCCACCCTTCACTGCCATTCAACCAACGCCGACGAAGTACGCTCTCACCGTCACCACTCTTCATTTTCTGGTGACCTTTCGGCTTCTCTGGCGTTGATCCAGCTTCTCCTGGTGGCGGCCACTCTTCCCCACGGCCGGATCTATCCTTTGCAAGCTTCAGCCGTCGCGAAAACCGTCGGAATCCGCCAAATCGCCGCCTCGCTTCTTCATCTTTCAGCCGAGATCTTGCTCATTTCTAGCGACCTTTCACCTCCCCAGGACTTGATCTGAACTCCCCATCATCAGAGCTTTCCATCGGTACCTTCGGTTCCCATTTCCGCCACCATTTTTCGGAAGACTGGCCGAAAAATTAATGTTTTTCGGCGAGTGCGACTGTTCGTATTCCGAGCTGTCCATTGGTCGTTTTCGCCACTTCTTCACATCATATCGCTTTCGGTTACCTCCTTTCCACCATGATCAGCTTCGTTTCCACCGTTTCAGCCTCCGTCATCACCACCATGAGCGGTTGAGTTCCCGGCTGTCTGTTACGGTGTAGGCGAGATCGAAATTGACTCCATTGATCTCCTCATCAGCTCTTGACTAGTTGGATGAGCTCGAATGTTGGACATTTGGTTAAGTTTCTTGTATTCAGATTATATTTGTTTTCATTTCAGTTTGTTTGTGATGCTTTAATATTATTCTAATGCTTGACGTGTTGAATTGATAATGTCCATTGAGAACGTTTATTGATATATAACTTTTCGCATAATTGAATGTCGGTTTGAGATTATTGAATGTTGATTATGACTTTAAATTGCTTCGGTACTGATTGCAATCAAGTTATAGTAGCGTTTAATATCATTTCTATTAGGAATGCATTTGTTATGTAATTAGTTGATTGGATGATACAGGTTAATAGGTTGTACTTGTTAACGTTGTACCAACTAGTGGTGTTTAAGGGTTTAGCCTTTTTTGGTTAGTCAATGATAGTCTTTAACCAATCGATCTGTAACTAAGACGACATGGAGACATGATAGATTATACCTAGATTGCTGGAAGCCATTTTATTGATTTGCCTAGCCTTGTAGGTTTAGGAAATTGACGAGCGAGGAGAGGAAGTGTGAGAGTTAGTCTTGAGTCAAACCGAACCCGTAACGACAACGCTTTTAATATTGTGTTTTAGTTAGCAATTTATTTGATGTTTTTTATTTTTTTGCAATTAATTAGCTTCCTCAGTTTTAATCAATCATTTTGTCAATTTCTCTTTCATTAACTCAAATATACATTAGGTCGTTAGTCTTGCTCTCTGTGGATTCGACCCTGCTTACCGCTAACTACGGTATTTAGGTTTAATTTTGTGACCGTGATGATCGGTTCGACAGTGGACGACTGCAGTTATCCACGCATGAATTCAAGGCGACATGCAGTAACAGTTATGATTGCTATATTCTGATGGTTGATCACCCTTTGTTGATGACTGACACGTGAATCCATTGAGCGGTCAAGATCGCTTGGCAAATGAAGGGCTGAGATTCGTCGCAGATTGACTGCTTGGGTCGAATCCCGCTTTTTCGTCTCCCCGCTCATCACTATATAAATAGGCTTTTTTGCCAGAATTATACAGTTGCAAGAATTCTTCTACACCCAAAATCATTTGCCTTCTCTTCTCAGTCGTTGCTTTCTAGATTCACAGACGACTTTCCGACGAGTTCTTATCACATCTCGTATTTTGGTAAGGTTCTTGTCTTTATTCTTTTCTTTCTTTTAAGCTTTCTTGCTGTTAAGGGGGTCATTGTTGTGGCGGCATTAACTTATTTAGGTTTTTTGTAGACCCAATAGCTTGGGTTTTAGAAATGTTTAGATGGGTGGTTGTTGCAATCTTGGTAGCTCACTTGCATCCCTAGGTTGATGCAAGCTATCCTGGATGCCTGAACTGAAGGCAAGTGTGGATAGGTCGTTTATAGTCTGAGCTCTAACACTTGGTCCCTTATGTTTCAGGTATCCGAAGGCAAGCTTTCATGACATCTTCATCCAATGGTCGCAGTATTGAGCGCCTGTTTGAAGTAGGTTCCCCGACAACCTCATTTGTTCGCGGGGAAGGAATCCCGGAAGAGGTTTTCGAGGAGGTCATTGTGAGGAGCTCAGATAGTATGCTGCAGGCTCTTCAAATGCGGCTTCTACCAAAATAGCCCTACCTAGGGGCTCACCAGTCCCTAGGTTTAGAAAAGACAAATTCCTTGATTAATTCAAAGGACATTGATCGCATACAGGACATCTATTCGACCCAACTCCCATTGATGGCTCCGAGAAATTCTTCCAGAAAAGATCCCCCCACGGGTGGGGTGGTGATCTCTGAAATCCTTTTGAGGTGTGGTATGTCTGCCCTAACTTATTTCTTCATTGTCGATGTGTTGAGAAGATTTGGCATTGCTCCCCTTCACCTCACAGGGAATTCATACAAAATTATAGTAGGACAGTATATAGCTTACCAAATAGTTAACATAGGTAAGCTATTGGTGGACGAGCTTGTCCACTTGTATAGACTTAAAAAGAGTAAAGACCAGACGTAATACCTTTCCAAGGCGAGGAAGACGTGTTTGAATGGTCTGGTTGGAGTCCTGAAAAAGTTGGGTAATTGGGACTCTCGGTATTTCTTTTACCAAGCCAGGGAGAATGGCACATTCACCTAGGATGCTTTCTCACACTCTTCTGTCCATTTAAAACCCTTGTTGCCCTTCAAGGTTTCAAAAAATAACGGGCACCTGTTAGTTGCTCAGGAGACAAATTTGCTCAGTACGGCTACTCGCCCTATCAAACTCTGAACTTGCTTTATTTTGGTTGGACTTTGCATGTTCAGAAGAGCTTAAATTTTGTCTGGGTTGGCCTCAACACATTGTTGATTCACTAGAAAACCCAAGAACTTCCCCTGGCTTACTTCGAAAGTACACTTCAAGGGATTCATCCGTATTTAGTACTTATTGAGGAAATCAAACATTTCTCCTATATGTTCAATGTGGCTTTCAGCGACCTTTGACTTGACGAGCATGTCGTCAATATACACCTCCATGGTCTTGCCAATTTGTTTGGCGAACATCTGATTCACTGAAAGCTGGTAGGTCACCCCAGCATTCTTCAGGCCAAATGGCATAACCTTGTAACAGTAAATACCCCTGTTAGTAATAAAAGAGGTATGCTCTTCATCAGGCTGATACATCAAGATTTGATTGTATCCTAAGTATGCATCCATGAAGCTTAGTAGTGCATTCCTTACTGTCGCATCTACTAATTGGTCGATTCGAGGTAACAAAAAGCTATCATTAGGACAAGATTTGTTGAGATCTGTGAAATCAATGCAAGTCTGCCACTTGTTATTTGATTTCTTCACTAATACGGGATTGGCAAGCCAATCCAGGTATTTTACTTCTCTAATGAAGTTGATGTTAAAGAGCTTATTAACTTCATCCTTAAGCGCTCGAGATCACTTAGAATCCATAAACCTTCTCTTTTGCCTTATAGGGCCAGCTTCTGGGTTGACGTTCAATCTATGACACATTACTTCAGGGTTGATCCCCACCATATCTGCATGAACCCAGGCGAACACGTCGAGGTTCTTCTTCAGGAACCCCACTAGACTGTCTGCTAACTCGTCACTCAGATTGGTCCCAATTTTTAGAACACGAGTTAGGTTTTTCTCGCTGACAAGCACTTCTTGCAACTCTTCTGTCAACCTTGCTGTGGGCTCTTCTTTGTGAATGCGAGGGACTATGGTGTCTTTCAATGGTTCAAGCTTTGGCTCAGACTCGATAATGATCATGGTCTTCGACAATGCCCATTTTTATGCTACAAGTATAGCTTGATTGTAGCACTCCCTTGAATCTTTCCTGCAACTCCTTATGACTCCAATCCGAGGTTGGGAACTTAACTGCCTGACATCACACTGAAGTGACTGCACTTAAGTCATCGAGGAGCGGCCAACCCAAGATGACGTTATAGGTAGTCGGGCAATCGACCACTAAGAACTCTGTCATCATTGTTCCTATCTGTGGCTTCTTCACAAGAGTCACGGGTAGCTCGATTGTTCCCTTGGGACTAAGCTATTCCCTTGGGGACTTGAATTTGTATAGCGATGATGGACATGCTCTTAAATCCCACTCGGTGAACCTCATTTCTAGGAAAGCTCCCAAGAAAATAATGTTCGCTACACTACCATTGTCAACCATTGCCCGAAAGACTCGAGTATTGCCAATCCTCGCTGCGATTACAATCGCATCATGGTTGTGGTAAAGGAATTGGTCACACTCTTCCTTAGTGTAGCCTATGACCTCACTTTCCATTTTGGGCTGTTTTGGTAGCTTTACTTCACAATTCATTATCTGGGGGACCGAGTTTGTCTTGGCTTCTCATCCTTATTTCTCACAAGAATGTCTGGAACTTTCTGTAATGTTGGGTCCCCCATAGATCATACCCACTAGTACGTCATCATCGAGCTGGGCTAGGCCGGTCTAGTCTGGTTAAACTGGGTCTGGTTACTTTGCTCGCTCTATTTGTTGTGAGCTTAGTTCTTTTTCACAAATTCTTTCAAGTGACCCTTTTCTAATCAAATCTTCGATAGCATCTTTCAAAGTCCAACACTCATTAGTGTTGTGCCTGATATCTCGGTGGAATCTGCAGTACTTTTGGTAATCCTTTTTGCTCGGTGCCCCTCTCATTCTCTCTGGTACGAGTAACCTTTTAGCATCGCAAGAGACTTTGTAGAGGTGTGCCACATCCTCTGTCAAAGGGGTGTATTTTGCATATTGCAAAAAAAGTTGTCTTTCCTCGCAAAATTATTCTTTGCCTTTTTGGGAACTTGTTTCGGTTTCTATCACCTCGATCCTGGCCCTTTCTTTTGTCTGTTAGGCGGTCTTGTTGCCTCTTAGGGGCCCTCCTTAGTGAGTTGCTTGTTAAGGCCGCCAGCGAGCTTTCAACTCGTATGATCCTCACTCTAGATCTCTTTCCACAATTCTATTTGTAGCCTTATACTTGCTATAAGCAAAGTGTGTATTGACTCCTTAGGTGCATCTGTGACCTTTGCCTACTCGTTCTAGAACCTCATTAAATACGAGCTCAGAGTTTTGTCTCTTTCCAAACGAATGTTGCTCAAGTAATTAAGCAGTATTGCGAACTATCTCCTTGCTTGAAATTGCTGCAAATATAGCGAGGAGAATTGCTACCATGACTATATTGAGTTCACCTTAAGCCTCTTATACCACCTTTTGATGTCTCATACCAAAGTCACCGCAAAATAGCGACACTTTGCCTAATCTGAGACCTGGTGCAGCTCCATTAGGTCGTTGAAATTGTCTGGGTTGTCTCGTGGGTCCCCCTTACCATCGAATTATTCTCGGGAGCCTTAAAACCCTATGGGAGTGGCGCTTGTCATACTTCCTCCGCAAACAGGGAACTCACTATCTCTTCTACCACATTGTTCTAACGGGCTTTTAAATCATTGAGCATTTTCTGCACCCGATATAAATCCTCATTGTGAGGAGTGTTTGACTATGAGTTTTGTTTAGCCTTACTTCAAGTAGATAAGTTCAAAGATCAATTGCTTGTGAGCTTGCTCTGTCGTGCACACTAGTGCGCGAGGTGGAGTCATGATGGATGGGATAGTAGGTGTTATCATGCTCCTCAGTACGTTGATCACGACGTTGGTTAAAACCGAAACGTCAATTGTTGCTAGACTGGTATGCGTGGTTGACCTTGCAAGCTTGCAAGGTTTGAGCTTGCCTTTGGTATGGGTTAAAATCGACACGTTGGCATTGGGCGTTTCGTCGACTAGGACAAAAATCCCTTTGGCAACCATTATCTTTATTTTCCCCCATGGGCTGCTTGCCAGGTCGCCTCCCAGGGTTAACTTTCCCCCAAGACTCTCACTCATGAGCGGAGTGTGCCCTACAATGTCAGGGGTGATGGTCGCTCTTTGCTGCCAACAAACCAGATTGATCACCAACAGAATCATTACACCTAGTAGGTGTAACTTCTGTGAAATACGGTTGATTGAGATTATGGTTGGCCTGTTGCTCCTTTCTCAGCTCAGCCACATTTTGTTGCGCCATCTATACGACCAGCATCCTTATCATCTCCATCAGTTTGCCATTCTCGATATTAGAGGTCCCAACCCCCAGTTGATTTGCAACCTGTTGCACCGATGGTACTGGCGGTCGACCTGTAGCAACGACCTGATTCACCTCTTGGTGGGTGATTTCCACATTGTCATGGTTTCCAGTATTTGCTTTGCATCTTGTATGGGCCATTGGGAATTTCAGGTGCTTGATTGTTCATTGAAATTGCTTGCTTCTTGTCAGAACTAGGAAAAGTAGGCAGAGGCCCTCTTTCTAGCACCAAAATGTTGATACAAAATTCACATCAACCAGAGTTATCCGATTGACCATGACAGAATCGAAACCGATGTGTGTATGATTATTAAAACCAGCAATGACAGTATAAAAGTGCAGTAATGTAAAGAACACAAATAATTTTAAAGTGGTTCGGCAAGTTAGAACTTAAGCCTACATCCACTGTTCTCTTATTGCGTTAGAGAGCTTACAAGAGAAAAATAATGTAATCCTCAAAACAAATTGCTAACCCCATTCTCATAATTGGAAGGGTATTTATACAAGTTTGAGATTAAGGAAAGAGAGAGAATATCAGGATTGCAATCAAATTCAAATTGCAACTCCGATATTTTCGTGATTAGGTGCTAAGATTGAGTTGCCACCGGTGTCAACCTTATCCCTTATAAAATATCTGAGATTTGAGCTTATCTATGGTTTGTCAAACAACTGCTAGGGTTGGTCATGACTAACTTGTGTTGAGTCGAGCTATCACTGTCGACAAGCTTATGTTGGGTCGGACCAATGCTAAGTCGAACTGATTCTAGGTCGAACTAGCCCCTTGCGGGCTTCTGACTTCTCCGAGCTTAATGGAAAAATCACACACAATATAGCACAATAATGCTTGTATTATTAATCTAATTTTAACAATTTGATTATTGATATTTAAAATTACTTTAAATATGTAAACATTTAAATATATGATAATTGGTACTATATGCATCAAAAGGTCTGGCCGGAAAAGGCCAAATCTACGGCTAGATATGGCCGCTGACGACTAGACCTAGCCATGTTTGGTCATCAACGATAGCCAT